AGCTCACTGCAGCCTCCACTCCCAGGCTCAAGTGATCCTTCCACCCACCTCAGCTTCCCCAGCAGCTAAAACTAAAGGCACATGCCCAGCTGATTTTTTTAAATGTTAGTACAGTTGAGGTCTTGCAGTGGTGCTCAAGTTGGTCTCAAACTCCTGGACTCAAGTGATCTTCCTGCCTTGGCCTCCCAAAGTGGTGAGATTATAGGCATGAGCCACGGTGTCCAGCCTGTAATTTTCTTTTCATACAATGTCTCTGATTTTGGTATCAGGGTAATACCAGCCTCATGCAATGAATTGAGAAGTATTCCTACCTCTTCAGTTTTCTGGCAAATTTTGTGGAAAATTGTTATTATTTCTTCCTTAAGTGTTTGATGCAACTCCCCAGTGAAGCCATCTAGGTCTTGAATTTTCTTTGTGGAACATTTTTATCCACATATTCAATTTTAACAATAAATAAAAATAGAGCTATTCTGATTACATATTTTTCTTGCCACAGCTTTGGTAGTTTGTGCATTTCACGTTTTTGTGAGGGGTACAGTGAGTTTCTTGGAACTATGGATTTATAATATTCATCAAATTAAGAAATTTTTCAGCCATTATTTCATCAAATATTTTTTCTATTCCCTTCTTTTTCTCCTCTTCTACCAGGACTCCAATTACATATAGTTAAGGTCCTTGTCCTACACATCACTGATATTCTTTTCATTTTTAAGTTCCTTTTTCTTTCTGTTGCACATTTTGGATCGTTTCTCCTGCTATGTCTTCAAGTTTTTTAATGTCTTCTTCTGCATTGTCTAATCTGCTGTTAACCCCACCCAGCGCTGTTGCTTAACTCCAGATACTGCTTTCATCTCTAGAGTTCAAGTTTGAGCTTTTTGATATCTTCTGTGTTTCTACATAACCTTTTGAATATATGAAGTACAGTACAATAACTGTCTTTTAAAAAATGATTTTCAACTTTTATTTTGGGTTCAGGGGTACATTTGCGGGTTTGTTACAAAGGTAAACTCGTGTCATAGGGGCTTGTTGTACAGATTATTTCATCAACCAAGTACTAAATCTAGTACCCAACAGTTATTTTTTCCTGATCCTCTCTCTCCTCCCACCTTCAAGTAGCCCCCCAGTGTCTGTTATTCCCCTGTTTGTGTCCATATTTTTTTTTTTTTTTTTGAGATGGAGTCTCATTCTGTCACCCAGGCTGGAGTACAGTGGCATGATTTCAGCTCACTGCAGTCTCCGCCTCCCAGGTCCAAGCGATTCTCGTGCCTCAGCCTTCCGAATAGCTGGGATGACAGGTACATGCCACCACACCCGGCTAATTTTTGTATTTTTAGTAGAGATAGGGTTTCACTATGTTGGCCAGGCTAGTCTTGAACTCCTGACCTCAAGTGATCCACCCGCCTCAGCCTCCCAAAGTGCTGGGATTACAGGCATGAGCCACCGTGCTCAGCCCCATGTGTTCTCATCCACAGTAACTGTCTTCACGCCTCTGCTGCACTGTTCTCCACTCTGCGCAGATGCTGAGTTGCCGCTGACCCTAGCCCACCTGGAGTCATTTCCTCCCATGCGCACACTCACAGCAGCTGATGTGGACAGGCAACCTGAGTAGCTCTCCAGGGCTCTGGTCCTCTGTCCTGCTCACTCTGGTCCCTTAGTTCTCTAAAGACACTCAGCTGTTTCCTCAACCCAGGAAGTCCACTGGGCTCTGTCTGGGATCCCCGTTCCTGCTCTGTGGTCTGGAAATTCTCTTAAGGCAGGAAATGCCGGGCGCAGTGGCTCACGCCTATAATCCCAGCACTTTGGGAGGCCGAGGCGGGTGGATCACGAGGTCAAGAGATCGAGACCATCCTGGTCAACATGGTGAAACCCCGTCTCTACTAAAAATACAAAAAATTAGCTGGGCATGATGGTGCGTGCCTGTAATCCCAGCTACTGGGGAGGCTGAGGCCGGAGAATTGCTTGAACCCAGGAGGCGGAGGTTGCGGTGAGCCGAGATTGTGCCATTGCACTCCAGTCTGGGCAACAACAGCGAAACTCTGTCTCAAAAAAAAAAAAAAAAAAAGGCAGGAAACTGGGCCAGTCATTGGCTTGCCTCATTTTTCCCAACTCGTGAGGATTACCGCCCTTCACTGCCTGGTGTCTAGTGTCTTGAACACAATTGCTTCATATATTTTGTGTTTGTTTTAGGTTGTTCAGAGAGGAGGCAGGAGGGTAAACGGGTCCTTTTTACTCCCTCTTGGCCAAGGCAAAAGTCAAAGTGAGTGAACTTTGAAAGCTGTTTCAAAACTACATTCCCTCTGTCTCATTAGCCTCTGACGTTTCTCTGAAGTTGCCAGGAAGAGGCTGTAGGGGAGATAAAGTGAAAATTGGGGGGGGATGGAATATTTACCGGCTGGACTTTTTTCTCCAGAACAGCCCTGTCCGTATAACATAGCCCTGGTCCGAGACCCAGGAAGGGCCCGGACATTCCAGTCCCAGGCGTTGGGGGACCACAGAGAACCTCCATGGGCGTGCAACTCCAGACCTCCCTCTGTGCCCAGGGCCAGGCTCCAAGCAGCAACTCTCTCACTCAGCTGGGCCTGACTCCGGACTCCAGGGCTAGAGGCGTGACCAACAGGGACCGGGACAGAGACTTCCTAGCACGAGAAGGCAATCTGGTTTCTCAGCGCTGCCTCCTTTTTAATGTGGAACCTGACTGGAACAGACACTGACCCCTTGGAGCCAGATGGAGAGAATGCTGCTTGGAGTGTGAGTGAGTGTGAGGTGCGGGGGAGATCTGTGCCCTTGAGCACGTGGCCTGGCTGGGGGACACCAGGGCTCTCTGGACACCTAGCGCTGGTCCCATCCTTCTCCGGACTCCGGATGATCTGGACACATGTATACACAGGGTTGTAAGGGTATATGGCCACATGTTTTTCTCCAAGCATTAATACTTTTAATTCTCTGATAGTTGTTCTCCAAACATTAATCACAGTAGTAATAATATAGGGACTTCATAGAGCTTTCTTTCTTTTTTTAATGGCACAAAATAAATTTTATGTGTGTATGTGGTAATACACACATAACATAAAATTTACCATCATAACAATTTTATTTTATTTTTTGAGACACAGTTTCGCTCTTGTTGTCCAGGCAATGGTGTGATCTCGGCTCACCGCAACCTCCACCTCCCAGGTTCCAGCGATTCTCTTGCCTCAGCCTCCCGAGTAGCTGGGATTACAGGCATGCACCACCATGCCTGGCTAATTTTGTATTTTTAGTAAGGACAGGGTTTCTCCATGTTGGTCAGATTGGTCTCGAATTCCTGACCTCAGGTGATCTGCCCGCCTTGGCCTCCCAAAGTGTTGGGATTGCAGGCGTGAGCCACTGCGCGCAGCCCATAACCATTTTAAACAGTGCAATCCAGTAGCATAAAGGACATTGACAATGTTATGCAACCATCATCGCTGTCTGGTTCTAGAACATTTCATCACCACAAACTGAAACCCAGTACCCAGTAAGCAGCCACTGTCCATTCCCCTCCTCCAAGCTCCAGGCAGCCACCGATCCGCTCCCCTCTGTAGGGACTGGCCTGTCCTGGAGATTTTGCATCAGTGGAGTCACACATTGGTCCTTTTGTATCTGGCTTCTCTCACAGCGTGTTTTCTAGGTTCACCCATGTGTAGCATGCATCAGTGCTTCCTTTTGGAGCTGAACACTATTCCACTGTGTGAACACAGTGCGTTGTGTTGATCTGTTCATCTGGACACTTCGGCTGCTTCCACCTTTTGCCTATTGTGGATGGAGCTGCTATAAACAGTAAGTCCAGATTTCTGTTTGAACACCTGTTTTCCACGCTCTGGGGTGTGCACCTAGGAGTAGAATTCCTAGATCATATGGTCACTCTGTGTTTAACCTTACTGAGGAACCTCCACAGTCTTTTCCAAAGTGGAGGCATTATGTTACATTCCCACCAACATGCATGAGCGGTCCAGTTTCTCCACATCCTCACCAGCACTTGTGATTCTCCATTTTAAAAATGATGGCCCAGACTACTGGATATGAAGTGATAGCTCACTCTATGTATGGCTTTTTAAAAACAGCTTTATCGAGCTATAGTTCACATACTGTACAAGTGATCATGTAAAGTGTACAATGCAATGGTTTTTAGTCTATCCACAGAGACATGCAACCAGAACCGCAGTTCATTTTAGAACATTTTCATCACCCAAAAGGGACCATGTATACTATCCCCATCACGCCTCCGCTCCCCAGACCTCTTCCCCAAGCCCCAAGCAACCACTAACCAATTGTCTCTGTAGACTCCCTTGTTCTGGATAGCTCATATCAATGGAATCATGTAATATGTGGCCTTTGATTCCTGATCTCTTTCACTTCATCTGTTTTCAAGGTCCCTGCATGCTGTACCATTTGTCAGCAACTTATTCTTTGTTATGGCTGAACAATATTCCATTCTATGCATACGCCACATTTAGTTCACCCACGCGTGGGCTGATGAACCGTGGGGCTGTTTCTACCCCGTGTCTATTAGGAATAATGCCCATTTCTCCTGGGTATATATGGAAATGCTGGCTCACATGATAACTCTGTGTTTAATCGTTTGAGGGACTGCCAGACCGTCATACATAGCAGTTGCACCATCTTACATTCCAGCCAGCAGTGTATGAGGGTTGATTTTTCCACATCCTCACCCACACTTACTTTTCCCATCCTATGATTACCCATCCTAGTGGGTGTTAAGTGGCATCTCACTGTGCCTTTTGATTTGTATTTCCTTTATGACTAATGACAATGAGTATCTTTTTTTTTTTTGAGACAGAGTTTCACTCTTGTTGCCCAGGATTACAGGTGCCCACCAGCACACCCAGCTAATTTTGTATTTTTAGTAGAGATGGGGTTTTACCATGCTGGCCAGGCTGGTCTTGAACCCTCAACCTCAGGTGATCCATCTGCCTCTTTACAGGTGTGAGCCACCACCCCTGGCCAGAGCCTCTTTTGTATAGTTTTAAAACTTATAGTGTTTATTTTAAGATAGTAGAAATATAGATACAAAGAATAATCTAATGAAACCACATGTACCCACTACCAAGATTTCACATAATCATTGCTCTTTCAGACTCTCAGTGACTAAGGTTTTAGGTGCAGGCGGGTATTTCTGAGACTGGGTTTTGCAGGTTGTCTGCAAGGTTCATCTTTCCTCCCTATTTAAGTCGACACTCCTTCTGCTCCCAGAAGAGGAGACTCTATGCTCTCCTTGTTCTTCGGGGCTCTTTGTTGCATGCTGTCTCCAGTATCACCAGCTTCTCTCTACAAGGTCTTTCTTAGCAATATTTAAAACTGGTCTCTGTCTTTAAAAACGTCACTTCTTCCCTGCTGTGTCCCCTGGCTATTGCCTGCTTTCCTCCAGCCAGCATCTATGTCATTAGTAGCACAGATGGTCCTTGAGTGACTAATGATGTCACGTTCTGATAAACCCTTGCAAGTTGAGAATATCCTATGTTTAAAATACATTAAATGTGCCTAACTTATGGAATATCATCGCTTAGCCCAGCCTTCCCTTAAATGTGCTCAGAGTACTTGCATTAGCCTTACATTTGGGCAGAATCATCTTACACAAAGTGTATTTTATAGGAAAGTGTTGACTATCTCATGTAATTTATTGAATACTGCACTGAAGGTGAGAAATAGTGATTGTATTGGCACTCAAAGTACAATTTCTACTGAATGCTATCACTTCCACACCATCATAAAGTGAAACAGTGCTAAGTTGGGACTATCTGTACAATTTTCCTCAAATATATCTTCAATTATGCAAGCTCACCCCCAGGGTGAAAAACCTTCAGGGCTTCCTGCTTTCTCCCAGATCCGCTGAGCCTGGGGTAGAAGCTTTTTTTCTGGGAACACAGTGCTTGTGAGAGTCTGCAGGTGGCTACAGGACTGGGAAGGCTTCCATCCTGTTGAAAAGTACCAGCACTTAGCACAGTACCTGACACACAGTAAGTACCCAAACTATGAAGATGACGATCACCACAGGCACCCTCACCACCAGCAGTGCAGGTTGTGCCAGAGGGAAAGAACAATTCTGACAAAGCTCTGGCCATGACGTTCCCTGTGGGCACCCCTAAAGAAGCCTCCCTCTGTCACCACCCCCCCACCAACTTGAGAATATCCAGCTTTCCCAGTGCTTCTTACAGAGGCCCCAGAGGGTCACTCTTTCCAGCAGGGTAAATTGCGGCAGTTCGGCAGTTCGTATGGCACAGGGAATGAGCACTCCCTAGCACAAAATACACCCCCCTCACCCTTCACTTGTTATTCACTGCCCCTTTCTTACATTTTTTTTTTTTTTTTTTTTGAGATGGAGTCTTGCTCTGTCACCCAGGCTAGAGTGCAGTAGCACAATCTCAGCTCACTGCAACCTCTGCCTCCCACGTTCAAGCAGTTCTCATGTCTCAGCATCCCGAGTAGCTGGGACTCCAGGTGCCCACCACCATGCCCAGCTAATTTTTGTATTTTTAGTAGAGAAGAGGTTTCAACAAACTGGCAAGGGTGGTCTTGAACTCCTGACCTTGTGATCTACCCTCCTCGGCCTCCAAAGTGCTGGGATTACAGGCATGAGCCACCCCACCCAGCCCCTTTCTTGCTTCTTAAAGCTTAACCATTCCCTCCTGCACCCCACCAGGTCCCCTTCCCACAGTGCCTTCCATTTATAAAGTGATCAGGTCCAGGAGGGCCTGGGCACCATCAAACTCCAGGCCCTCTTGGAGGCTCCGAAAGAGTTAAAGGTGTGAAAGGCGAAGGGAGCCCAAGTTCTGCTGGAGACCCAGCCTCTACAGCTTTGCTGACTCAAGGTAGAGGCGGGGAGACCCCAGTTTCAGGGAAATTAGGTGCTGTTTTCCAGCCTCCCCAGCTGCTTGTACTCCTGTTAGACTTGGGGGCAATTTTCCAGAGTCTGTAACCTACAAGACTGCAAGAGAAAGGGAAGGCAGGCTGGCTGAGGACATCTGCACCATGGCCCCCCAGGGACGGCTCGCTCACCCCCACCAGGGGGCCACTTTGTGCCAAACCAGAGAAGGAAGCTGGGGAGGTGGAGGCGTGGGAGGAGGGCCCAAGAACAAAAGAATCTATCAACTTGGAAAGAGGAAGTAGGTGAGGTCAGCAGTGTATGGACTGCAGGCTCCCAAGCTGATGGCACTGGCACTTTTGAGCCCTCTGCCTGCTGGGAGCTGAGCATGGGGGCTGATGGCTTGTGTTGGTGGCAGAAGAGAGGAACCAGAGGGCATGGGGGCCATCTTGCTCAGGAATCCTGTGTGACCCCCTTATAAACTTTTCTCCTAGTAGTTCTTTCCTCTGAACCAAGACCAGGCAAGCTCGCCCAACCTACGACCTACGACCTGTCCCCAGCTCCCAGACTGCTTTCAACCCTCCTCCCCTTAGCTTCCAAAAGAGTGGATGCCTGGCTCTCCTTGGTCCCTGTGCCCAGAAAGTTTGGGTTTCCTCTGGCACTTCTCCAGATAAACCCTCCCAGCCTCCTCAGTCCTCACCAGACCCCACCACACCCCACCTGTCCTCACCTGGAGGCCACACCGCAGTCTTCACTTCAGGATGTACCATGGCGCCCTGAGGTTCACAGGCGCCAGAGAGGAATCGTCTTCAGCCTGTAGGGGACAAAAGCAGCCACCAGCCTCTCAGCACAAGGGAGGCTCCCGGTCCTCTCCCTCTCACAGGCATCCAAATTCTGAAGCCTCCACCTCCTGAAAACGTCTCTCCTTTCAGCCTCCCTCTCTCCAGCTGGATGACAGGCACCAACCACCCCAAATCCAGTCCTCACGCCCCTCCACTGACCCCCTCCCCAACGCCTGCTAAGGAAGGGCCACGCTCCTGAAGCTGAGGAGCCGGCTGCTTTACAAGTTTTGAGGGAAAAGAACGGATTTCTCTGGTTAGGCCACTCAGGGAATAAATGGCCCAAGGCCCTGGGAGATCCCACGACGGGTGTGGGGGGTGTTTCTTCTGGAGTCTGGATGGAGCAGAGCTGGCAGGCTGGCTCGCCAAATACGCCCCTTCCTTGCCTTACTCCCTAGGCTCCGGAGAGATCCCTGGAGAGTTCTGGAAATCCTGCTACCTTTAGGACCTGAGGGATCCGAGTTGGGGGTCACCTTCCCCGCCCCCAGCGAAGTCGGCGCCGGGAACTGCCCTAATGGAAACCAGCCGCCGGGCGCTCCGGGAGGGCTCGGGCAGACCTTGGGGTCCACCAGAGGCGCGCGCCAGGCCGGGGGAGCCCGCAGCGGCTGGAGGGTGAACCTGACATTGCCGCGCGGCTCCACCAACCCCTCCGCGGCTCGCACCCCACCCCCACCCCGGCTGGAACAAACTAGACCCCGGGGCGTGCGGGTGATTCCCAGGGAGGGCGGACTCGGGGCTTTCCCTGTCGCACCCTCCATAGGGGGACCGCCCCCAATTCCCCGAGAGCTCCTCGGGCAGGGTCCTTAGGGCTCAGAGCATGGGAGGACCTAGCTTGCCCGGTGGAGGCGAACAGCCGAGAGGTCGGTGGAGCTGCGCCCCAAGAGTCCCCGGCGCGCGAGTCTCCCCACCCGGACCCTTTGTCCGCCTCCTCCTCCCCTCCCTCATCCCGGCCTTGGGCTCGGGGGATCCGGGCGGCGGCAGAGGTGGCAGGCAGAGCCCAGAGGCGCAGCTCGGCAGCCAGGAGAGTTGCACTTGGAGCCGCCCCCGGGACCCGCGTAGCGACGGCGGGGCGGGGGAGGCTGCGGGCTCGCGGGGTGGGGGCTGGGGCGCAGCCCAAGAAGTGGGAGGGGATCGGGTGAGGGGTGGTCTCTGAGGAGGAGCCAGGCTGGACCGTATTGTTCCGCGCTCTGCCGTGTAGGGCGCGGGGCGCAAGGCTTCCCTTGTCCCTCTCCCCACCCCCGCTCTCCGAGCGCCAGAGGAGGCTGGGGGTGGCTCGTGCGCCCCGACACGCCGCTGCGCGGCTTGCCCGGTGGGTGTGCGTCCTCCGAGCGGTACCGGGAAGGGGGTGCTCTGCGCCCGCGCGCCCAGGACGGCTCCACCCAGGGCGGGGGTCCCGAGTGGGCCGCCCGCCGCAACGCAGTCCCCTGCCGGGTTCGCGGTCCCAGGGGTTGGGGCAGGCGAGGAGCTAGAGTCCTTCACCCTCCCTCGCCGCGAGCCTCCGCAGGAGTCGGGTGTCCGTGCTCCCCGCGATGGCCGCGGGCCGCCGCCATACGGAGCCGCGGCGCGGACCCCAGGGCACCCCTCCCTAGCGAGGCGCAGCTACTTTTCGCCCCCAGCCTGGCCAGCGGGATGGGGGGCGGCGGGTCGGCCCTGAGGGTCTGCGCCGACCACCGCGGGGGCATCAACTGGCTGAGCCTGAGCCCCGATGGGCAGCGCCTGCTGACCGGCAGCGAGGACGGCACGGCCCGGCTCTGGAGCACCGCGGACGGCCAGTGCTGCGCGCTACTGCAAGGTACACCCTCCCACCCCCTCCCTGCCCTTTTCGCCGTCGCTCACCGGCCCCAGGCCGCCAACCCCAGCTCCTGAGCCCGCAGACCCCTTTCCAGAAGTTCAAGCCCCGCCGATCCCGGCACACTCACGGGAGAGCGCTTGTCTGGGCACGACAGGGCAGGGTGAGGTCGGGGTGGGGTGCGGGTGCGGGTGCAGAGCAGGGTGCGGCCGGGGTCGGGTGGGTGGGTCGAGGGGCGCCAGCTGCAAAGGCAAAGGTCATCTGTCAGCCGGCGCAGGAAATCCCGCTTGTCAACAAAGTTCACAAACCAAAAGTTGCCTCTCTGCCCCTTCTGAGCAAACTGTCCTTGTTTCCAGGTGCCAGGCAGCCTCTTTGTGGCCAGTTGTGATCTGTCGGCATTTCCTGTTGACGACTATCACAGTAATAGGGGCTTGTTAAGGGCCAGCAGTGCTAGAAGTGTGCGTCACTCTACGTTATCTACCCCACAGACAGATGGAAACTGAGGCTGGGGGCTAAGAAACTCGCCCAGGTCGCACAGCCAGTGAGGGGTAGATTGCAGTCTGAGCCCTCTCACTGCTGTAAACCCCGCCTGCAGGTCTGCTGGTTTCTGTTTGTGTCCTGTACCCACTCAGCAGGTCAGTGTGCCTCGGCTGCACCTTCCCCTGGGCCTGTCCCATGCACGGTGAGGTCGCTTTCAGCTCTGGCCCTCTTACTGCCTGGGTAGCACACGAAGTCCCCTGGATGAGCCTCGAGGCTTTCTGTACTGGGAACAGTTCTTTATGACCACCAGCTTTTCCACCATTGTCAGTGAACTCTCAGTGGCCTCGCCCAGGCCTTCCCACTTAGGTAGGATATTGGCCCCAATATTGGCTAATCCTGATACTGCTGGTTTTAAATAAGAACAGTTGACCAGGTGCAGTGGCTCACACCTGTAATCCCAGCACTTTGGGAGGCTGAGGCAGGTGGATCACCTGAGGTCAGGAGTTCGAGACCAGCCTGGCCAACATGATGGAACCCTGTGTCTAATAAAAATACAAAAAATTAGCCAGGCATAGTTCCAGGCGCCTGTAATCCCAGCTACTCGGGAGGCTGAGGCAGGAGAATCACTTGAACCCAGGAGGGGAAGGTTGCAGTGAGGCAAGATAGTGCCACTGCACTCCAGCCTGGGCAACAGAGCAAGACTTCGTCTGGAAAAAAAAAAAAAAAAGAACAGTTAGGGTAGTTATTTCAAACCCAACAGGGATGACTTTTAGGTTACCGGTTACTTGGGAGTTGGTGTGGATAATGGAGAGGTGCCAAACTAACACACATCCCCCTCAAACAGCCACACACACTAATAGGCACTCAACTGGGAGTGGAAATGTGAAGTCTTTAGAAGTGCTGAGTCCGTTTGGTACTGCTCCCAAGCATAAGACGGTATTGGGGGCAGAGGGGTGCGTGGTGTTTCAGAAATGCAGATCCCAGGCCTGGGCTCCAGCAATGCAGTTCTCTGCAAATAGAGCTCTCGAATTGGCATTTCTGTGGCTTTGTTTTTTGAGATGGAGTTTCGCTCTTGTTGCCCAGGCTAGAGTGCAGTGGCACAATCTCGGCTCACTGCAACCTCTGCCTCCCGGGTTCAAGTGATTCTCCTGTCTCAGCCTCCCGAGTAGCTGGGACTACAGGTATGTGCCACCACTCCCGGCAATTTTTTTTTTTTTTTGTATTTTTATTAGACATGGGGTTTTATCATGTTGGCCAGGCTAGTCCTAAACTCCTTACCTCAGGTGATCCACTCGCCTCGGGCCTCCTAAAGTGTTGCGGTTACAGGTGTGAGCCACTGCGCCCAGCCTAGAATTGGTGTTTCTAACAAGCTTTTGGGTGGGTTTGCCGCATAGCTGGCCCTGGGCTCCCCTGGGCTCCCCTGGGCTGGGGACCTGTTGTATGAGCTCAGTGTGTTAGGTGGGTTTTCTTCCCAGTGAGGCGCAGGCTTTGCCAGGCTGTCTGTGGCCTGGTGGGCACCTGACTTTGCACCCATGGCAGCTCTGGAGCCTCACCAGGCCTCCAGGGCCCACCCTCCTGCCCAGTTCTCTGACACCTGCGCCTCCTTCCTTCACACCCACTTTGTGTGCTGCTTGTCCTCTTGAGGCACTGACACTTCCCAGGGAGGGTGCCCGACCTTCTGCCCTTATTGAGGCCAAGGCCATCCCCGCTTAAGCAGGATTCTGTGGAATGAAAGAACTGCAGCCCGCTTTTGCTAGGATTGTTTTTGCTGGGGTTTGGCATTTTTCAAGAATTTTCAAGGACAGGAGGACAGAGGTCATCTTTCTTTATCCTGAGATTCTACTGATACACTTAACTTGCAGAAGAGTCATCCTGAGTGTGGGACAGTCCTTTTGTGTGGCTCCTCCAAGGAAAGCAAGGTCGTGACAGTTCCTTCCTCCTGTAGGATTTTTTTTTACATCAGTGAAATATTATTAAAATGTCTTAACATTTGTTTAGTGCCCTGTATTTTATAAATACCCACCGACATACTTCTTTATTGTGTAATGAATCCACACGACTCCGAGACGGGTGGATTGACACCAGTTCACAGAGGAGAGTCAGGAGGGCAGATACGTTAGCAGCATGCAGAGCATTCATGCTCTTTTCCGGATTCCATCAACTGTGGGGTGGGTGCTGTTGCCAGCATCCCTCGCGGTGCAGTGCGGGTGCAGGACCTGTCCAGGGTGCCACAGCTAGTCCGTGGCAGAGAGAGCTTCTGAAGACTGCACATGGCGCTCCTCCTACCCCAGACGCCGCTGCAGGGGAAGTTGTGTCCAGACCACACGGCTAGCCCACGGTGGCTCCCCTCCCTGAAGCATCCTGACTCTAAATCTAGATCTCTTTCCACTCCGGTTCTATCCTGACCCTTGCGCAGCTCCGGGCCCACAGGAGCCTGTGACTGGCCACTCCTGGACTTCTCAGGCAGAGTGGCTGGGGTTGGTGGCTCCTACAGAGATTCTTCCTCTGCAGACGTCTGGCTCTGTTCCTGGCAGCAGGGGCGATCTGGGACCGGAGGCTTTCCTGGGTGTCTCGAAGAGCTTAGGAAAGCTTGGGCTGAGGAGTAAGACGGAGAGGAAGAGAGAGGGCAGTTCCCTGAGGTGTGCGGGGTTGGTGGGCCAGGTGCTGCTCCTGGAGGCCCCGGGGAGAGTAGGGTGCAGAACTGCGTGTGGGGGCCGGTCCCTGTGGGTGCGCTCACTTGTTATACAGGGAGTCGGCTTTCCAATGCAGTTGGTGACCTCGCAGTGAGAAAGGCTTCCTTGCAATTACTCTGCAAAGAGAAAAATTACTTGCCACGTGCTTATCCCCGACCCCCTCTTTTTCAGGTTTATCCATTGGGTGTATCCTTATTTGGGGGCCCTTTATTGGCTCAATGAGATGAGTGACATTTTCCAAAACGGTGGTGTCTACCCTATCCTGTTCCCGCTGAGTAAGGGACTCAGCCTGAAGGTGGCAGCCCGCTGTGGCTGTCCCACATGCTTCCTCGTCTTCTGACATGAGGGGGTGGGGATTGTTTTAAGTTCCTGGGTACAACTGCACATTCCCATTTGCTGGGAGCCTGTGGTACGGGAGGGTCCTAGGGAAGGCTGATGGGAGAGCAGTGACCAAGAAGATGGGCTGAAGGAGGCGCGCTGCACCCCCACAGCTTGGGGCCAAGTGACTGCTCCCACAGGAGAAGTCCAGAAAGCCAAGCTGCATAGGTCTTGGCTCAAAGTGGGGGTTTGCGGATATGCTACAGGTCTCCCTTGGCCACACCAGTGTCATTTCAGCCACACTGTTGGTGCTTCTGGGCCTAGATGTCACCTGCCTCAGGGTCCTGGCACCCTTGAAACTGGGTTCTACCAGGAGAGTTTCATAAAGGGACACTCTGCAAAACGCAGGTGCAGCATAAGGGAACCACAGTAGCGTGGCTTGCACCAGCAAGGCTGTCACCTGTTCTGGGCCTGAGTGGGGGGCACAGTCACTGCATCCTAGAAACAGCTGAGAGGGCTTCCTTCCAGGTTGGATGGCCACAGCCAGCCAGTGTGGAAAAGAGA